GTGTGCTTTCAGCCCACGGGGAAGGAGAGAGCATTCCCTGGGGAGCAGGGACTTCCATCCTGAGGTAACAATGAGTAGCAGAGCCAGGGTCACACCTGTAGGATGGTATTGAGAAGGGAGGGAGGAAGCTCTTTGCTTCAGACAGAAGGACAGGAGTAAGCTACAACAGCAAAGACACATTGCTTCAACGGGGACAGGAAGTGCAAACAGAAGGAGCAAGGGTAATTAGTTTCTCCAGCAGAACTCTGAGAGTTTACAGTAAACTCTCCAACTCTCAGATAAACAGACTTAAGAACTTGTGCTGAATTCTTCAATTCATCCTGAATTCTCTGATTCTGAAAGAAGGCAGCAGTGATCCCATCCTCAGAGAGAGCAGCCTGGTAAAAATGAGCACTGCTGCATGCTCTTCTGGCCAAGAGGATGGTGTGCAGCACATCCAGGCTTGGCACATGGCAGAAGGTCAGAGCTGATTCTGAGAACCCAGCAACAATAGAGTCGTCATGGACACAGGTGCTTCCTGGATTGATCTTGCATTTTGGCTGTTTCCAGTTAAATGTGAAGCAGCTGTGGCCCTTTATCTGCTCAAGCCACTGGAATCCATCTAAGGGGAGACTTTCTCCCATCTCCTCTTTTCCACTCCAAGCATGCAGCTCTGTTTTCTGAAGACAGAGAGGAGGAGGGACAGCCAGTTGGCAGAACTCCACACAAAAAACCAAAAAAAAAACAAACAAAAAACCCCCCAACAACCAAAACAAACTTGCCTTTCTTATCTCAGGGCAAAGCAATGAGATATTGATTCAGTCACTAATTTTCCAATGCCTGTATCTGGGGACAAGGATGACAGCCAGCAAAACAAGAATGAATGCTGCTGAAGGCTGTCACGCAAACAGATTCAGGACCCTTCCCTCAGGCAGCAAAATGAACAAATTAAGCCAATGTGAAAATAAGTTCTCAAGAGTTTATGGCATTGTTCTGCATGATGAATAGAACAGGGTTTCTTTCACAGAAAGGGATTGAGCTTTAAAGAAGGTGTTTTCAATAGTCAGCTGGTGGAATTCTGGAAGAGGCACAGGAAGGTCAACACTGGGCCATCAGGCATGTCAACAGGAGGAGCCAGGAGATTTCAGAAAGCCAGTCAGTAAGAATTCCCAAATAGCTCCACACCAGCTAAATGTACTTAATATAAACTTTTCTTTGTAAGTTCACTGATTCTGGAGCCATCAGACCCCTCTATGTCATAGCTATTTCTTCCAGCCAGACAAGATCTCACTTTATTTTTCCCCACTACCTTAGGAAGGGGAGGATTTGGCTCAAATTTGTGCTTGTCACTAAACAACAGAAATGTGAGACTCTAGGTATTCAGTTTGGTTGGCTTAAAGAGCAGCCGTTTCACAAGCCATGCTTAGCATTTTGGACAGAGGAAGCCAACAATCTTCTGGCTTTACCCAGTCAGTATGCAACTGAAAGCATAAACAGGTTTGGTCTTTGTCCTGCTTCACACTTCCCAAGGCTTTTCTTTTTCTGATACATAGGAACAGTGCTAGTTATTTTCTACAAAAGGGATTCTCTTGTCCTTTCTAAAACCAAAATGGACGTCAGGGTTTAAACATCATACCAGACTATACTCCACCTATTTATGGTAATGCTGCTGAATTATTGCTGAACAGTAAAGATCAACAATATTATTGAATAATAAAGATCAGATTACTAATCATGTCAATAATAGTAATAATCATACTGTTCTGGGAACAGAGAGATTAAAGAAAATGATCATTTGCTTTTTTGGCAAGACAGTACTGGTAGTAAGTAGGACATAGCCTGAGTGTTTTGCTAAATTTACTTTCATATAAGGGGACTTCTTAACCTGAGAGAAATGGTCCTGCAAATCACTGTCGAGTCATTCATATTCATCCAAAAGCACCCTCAAATTCAATCTGATATACTTCGAAACCCTTCTATGTGCCAGCTCGAACTGTTCCTCTTCATTCTTCTGCATACAGTCTGTCCACAACACTTCTTTTGAATTCCCTTAGCTAAAACATAAGCATGCAGCTGCTTCAGTTTTTTTTCCAACCCTTGCATTTTTTCCATGTGCTGTCCACCCCCCCAAACTCCACATCAGAATCCAGCTGATCTTCCTTGAACACTATCCAATTTTTCAATTGTCAATGCCAGAATGCAATGAAGTGGGCTTGACTCCCTTATACAACTTATTTGGAAGTAAAGCAGAAATGTCTCTTTTGGGCTTGAGCACAAAGAAATACCTCTTCATGTATGGCTCCACAAGAACCAAGATGAAAACATGTCCATCTCTGCAACCTCTGTAACCCACAAAACAATTTCTGCTTTGCAAGCAGCTCAAAATTTGTTGTGCCTCTATTTGTTTATTCGATGTATATATTTTGTTTTTACACTCACTATAGCAAAATGGTTCCTCTTCTGGGCCTTTCAGTTGTTTTTATTTAATCTTTTGAAAAGGAAAGAGAAGAGTAAAAAAAGGAAGGCTAGACAAAAATGCAAAGTTCCTTAAGACATTCAATTACAGCAACGTAACAATATAACATAAACATAAACAACACAGCAACTATTAAGTTGTCGTGCTGTTGTGATGTTGTACTCTGTTTGGCTAGACTGTCTTTTGGAGCTCACCCAGAAATCATAAAATACAAACTATTCTGTAAAAAAAGAGACAAAATGGTTTGCAGCAGCCTCCTCATTTTTAAGGGGGAGCCCCAAGCACTTCTGATAGCTACAGCCCCAGTTACAGGAAAATGACAATGCAGTCCCTGATGTGCATTTTTGAGAGTCTTTTGTTCTTCTAAAGGCAAAAAGCTGTTTCTTGTCAATATATTTAAATCTCTTTATTCACAATTTCTATAGTTTTCTGCTGTTTCTGCACCTTGATTAATTCAGTCTAGTGGCAACTCTGGACTTTTTTGCCATGCAATTTATTTTTATTTCTTTATTGTCATCTAGAACTGGCAGATCTACGTTATGATCAGACCACAGGAAAACTCACAGATCCTTATGGGGGGCAACCATGTGTTCTCTCTTGACTCTACCCAGTATTCCTGCACAACCATTTACCCTTTAATAAAGTTTTGTATGTTCAATGTTCAGAGAAGACCCTGCTGAAATAAGGGTTCTAGTCCAGGCAAACCTGCCCAACACGAAAGTTACAGAACAGAACAGAAGTTACCTCGTGTGGGACCATTCAGCTGAGGACACACACATCGATCTAGGCAGAGTCCAAGCCCTCTTGCTTTCCTGGCCATTTCCCCCAGGAATTGAGAATTTGAGGGAAGACATCATGAACAGGAGACACTGCTGCCAGGGTAGGGGAATGTGCACATAGAGGTGCCCCACTCTGCAAATAAGTCAACATTAAGCACTGGCTTTGAGTCAAGTTTCCTGCCCCATCCTTTATTTCAAGTCTGTGATGATGTGTACAGACATAGCCTAACACCAGAGAGCAGAGACTATTCTTGGACTTCTCTCACACTACTGCATCTTTAGTTCTTCTCAAGGGCTAGCAACAGCCAATAAATTAATAGTTTCACAATTTCCAGTTGAAACACTTTTCATGGGAAGATGATACTTTCAACTAAATGAAAATTGCTGAAGAAAGTGTCTGCTTCCCTGAGTGGAAAGTTTCTTTTTCAGAAATCTAGGAATGGTACACCTCGGCTGTTCTGCTGTAGTTTGCTTGGGTTTTATGTTTTGCTATTTTTTTTTTTTTGTTGGTTTTAGTAAAAAACGTTCCAGCTCCAGACTGCTACAGTGTTTACTGCTCTTCCCTGCACCATGTTGACTTTTCTCCCCCTGCCAAAGTGCTTCTTAAATCTCTTCTGAATATATGCTCTTACTGGTGGTGTTTAACAGCCTTTTCTTCCTCTTTCCCCCATTGTTATTTAAGACGATGCTTTTATTGCTCAACAGATTCCAAGAAGCATTTTGGATAAATGCTCTGTCAAAGAACACTTATGCACAGTTGAGCCATATTATATTCTATATGAATCACTGCGGATGTTTTCCAAACAAGGTTAGATCAGCCAGATTTTCCAACTAGATTACACACAGCTTTTTCAGACATGGTCTGCTACCTCTGCCATTAATCCTCCTCATTGAGACTCACCTCGGTTTTGGACCGTGTCATGTCTGCCCACCAGGGACAGGAGCATGCTGCTAACACTTTCTTCTAATGAGGATAACAATCCTACGACAGAGTAGCCTTGGACAAATTTTATCTGCAGAATGTAAGGGAAAGGCTGATTTTGCAAAGCTAGATGGTCTCTCACCAGCCCTCATGGTTTTATTGTCTGTGATTTCTTCAGACAGAGACCTCATTTAAATGGCCAGGAAAAAGAAAAGTCTACAGGATGAATAAAGTCTGTTTCACCAGCTAAGGACAATTTTGTGCCATGTTTTATTTTATACTAATGAAGATTGCCAAGAGCCTATTGATCAGTCCTTCTTGCCTGCTTTACCTGACCAGATATATGGAGAAGCTCAGGGAATACTGAATTGCTCTCTACCTGCCCAACACACTTTCAATGATGCATCTGCTACATAAAATGTGGTCCTTCAGGAAAAACTGAAATTCCACCTGAAGAACAGCAGCCTGACACAGAGGTCTGCAATGGAGAAGCAACAAAACCCCCACGGAGAGCAAAAGGAAAAACAGCTCTGGGGGAAAATGAGCTGAATGAAATGTTTCTTTAAAGAAACCATGGCACTTCTGAGCTGGTATAATGAAGCAGCTGTGATATAAATAATGTCCCCAAGTGGAAAAACCCACAAAAACACCAGCCATTCAGGCTCCATATGTTTCCAAACTCACACAATGGATGCTTTACAATGCACTTTTTGTCTGGAAATTGGGTGGGAAAGGGAGGTTCCTCACCCACCTCCTATACTAATGCAATAATCTTGCTTAGTCACAGAAAAAGGGAGAGAAAAAAGGAGAGAAAGTGATTAATAATCTGTGGGCAGCTGCTTACTTTCCAATTGGTTGTCCAGGAGGGGTGTGCTCCACTTCAAATCCTGCTTGTCTCAGTACATCAATCACAGTGTTGTTACCCAGGAAGTGACCTAAAATACAGGTAGAAAATAGCACTGTCAATCAAACTACTACTCTCACTTGCTTGAGCTTCTCCTGTTGGAACAGCAGCTTTGGGAGTTAAGGGTACCAAAAACTAGGTCAGAGAAAGGGACAGCATAAAGCCCAAACACTTCTTCCATCTCATTTATCCCTCCCTCCCCTCACAGGGCCAAGGGACTGGGTGGATAATAGGGAACCTAGATGGGTTGCAAGTCTTGCCTTTCACTGTGACCATTTTTAATATGCACACTGATTAAATAAATTTCCAACATGGAGATCAGAATGACCCTGCAGTGGCAAAAGGATATTACTAGGGCTTTGACTCGTGAAATGGAACAACTTACAACCCTGACCATCACTACTCATGGACATCTGCTAATGAAGAGACTCAGGCTGCTGTAATGCATGTTCAGTACTTGTCTGACTAAAACCACAGTGATTCAGGAACTGCCTCATCAGCCATTCAGCCACCTGCACAGTGGGGCTGGGAGGAGCTGGGATGGTAACCTTATCTCTCCCAAAACACAAAGATTTAGTCCTGTAATTCAGGGCTCTTTGTTGGAAGTGTAAAGGTCACATTCCTATTCACAGAAGTAACAAGGAGCCCACTAAGTATTGCAGTGTGTACAGGCCTTGAAAGAGTTTACTTAAGGGGGTCCCATATACTTGAAATCTGAACCAAATCCCACAGAGTCAATGGGAGCCCTCAAAGGGCTTTGGGCTCAGACTCAATAAGGGAGTGTAATCCAGCCAAAGCTTTCAACTTATTGTCAGAGTCCCACACTGTCTGCAGGATGGGTTGGATATATAAAGGCAGCAAAAAGTCCACAAACAAATTTATTAAAATCCACATAGCACTGTAACCTGTCTCCAACTGCAGCCATGAGTGACATGGAGGAAGAACAGAACAATCCTCTTCCATTATATCCATTAACTTCCAACTCTGCAGGGCTGGGTGACCCCCATTTACAGCCAGGTCACTGCACCTCACTGCCAGCTCTGAACAGACCAATTCACCAGGAATGTGCCCAAGCCTCCCTGTGCCTGTGGCATCTCAGAGGAGGGTGTTCACCACGCTGTGGGGTGTAAGAACTCACTCCTCTGGTTTGCTGCTGCTGCTGCTTGGAGAGTGTGTGCTTGCCTGAAGCACAGTCAAAGTGTTTGCAGGAGACGTTTCTGACTGCCTGGCTCCACAGCAGAGCCAAACTGCACTGAAAAATCCAAGGCAGGCAAGAGGTGCCTGAGTCCCCCTCCAAGGACACTGCTGTGCAAGGAGCTGGTGCAGCCACCAGCAGAGTCACCCCTAGGATTCTTCGCCCACCCTGCACAAAGTCCTGATGAATTTGAGAGCATTCAGCCCCAGGATTTGCTCAGCCTGCTCCCCTCTGCTCCCACTGCCAACAAGGGCGCTAACTCGCCTCAGTTGTTGGAACGATGTAGCTGCATGGCTTTGAGTGCAACTCGCAAGCGCTGGTAAGAGCTTTTAGCCAAAAGACATTTCTTTAAATGATTAAATGTACATTTGCAGAGCCCTAGTGTGTTCCAGGATTCCTCCACTTCCTTTTAAGAAAACTCAAAATTTGATTTTCCCCTTTCTAACTTACTTATAACAAAAGCCAAAGCAGCAAAGAACAGTCCCAAAAATGTGTTATACACCCTCAGAGATTCAAGAAATGAGACATTTGTGAATGATTAACTGGATTTGATCATATCCTGTTTTTTTATGCAGTGGCCAAGGCAAACAAAGGTCCCCATTCTGTCACTGGCAAAGTGACACTGAGGAACCAAAGTCAAAGGTATCAGAGTCCGAGACGTTTCTGAGTCCACTTTATTTTCCCTGAGCCAGGGTCTGAAATGCCAAAAGATTTCTTAATGTAAATAATTGTCCCGATTCCAGCAAATCTTTGACAAGATGACAGCATAAGAGAAACCAATTTTAACTCATTTAAACTCAGGGAAAAAAGTAACTATGCAAAAGCTCTGACTCCTCATCCACACAATGGTAGGTTGGTCAACAATGTCAGCTCCTCAGCAGAGCCTGCAAGTCCCTTCAAGTGATGGATGAAGACCAAAAGATGGCACTTGCTGGACTTCCCATTCCTGCCCTCTGTGTGGATGCCATGATGAAAGCTGCCAGCTGCTGGGACTGGTGATCTGCTGGGCAGCATGGCAACAGAGTTTGTTCTTTTAATTCTGCCTTTCCTAACTGGAAGGAATGCCAGCTTCCATTAAAAACCCCTCAACTTCAGATTCCCAAATAAATTAAAATCCTAATTACAAATATCCATGCAAACATCATAGGTATTTCATTGTATGTTCTCAATCCAACACATACCAAAATATTTTCAATGCTCCAGTTCAACCAAGAGAAAAGAAATAAAAAGAAATAAAAAAATCAAAACCAAAATCCAACTTTGAGCTGGCCCTCAAATAATTCTCCATTCCACATACATCAACAGAGCCTGAAACTTTATCAACTACTAGGAAATGGCATGAGCAAAACTTAACCTTTAGACTCTGCTTAAAATTTACCTGTTTGTATTATTCCACGTACATCTGGGTAAGTTACCACCCATCTCATCCCCAGCTTGCCATGTAAATGCATCCTCTCCACGCGACTGAAGATTTCTGACTTGTATTTGTCTTAACTTCTCTGTCCAGTCAGAATTCACATATTAAGGTTGTTTTTGTATCCACCCAACACAGACATTTCCCATCACTGATTCATGTGATCCCATGGCAAGGAGTTCCTCAGGATCTCCTTGAGATGTGGAACAGGAAGTTTTAAGGAAAAAGGTGGCACTGGAGAGGTCCAGTGCAAGTAGGTAATGTGAAACAAGAAAGGTTAAAGAATTCCTAGAAGAATTGTCTTAGCCTGCCTCCTGCTGTGAAGTCCATAATAATTATCCTTTCCAGTTTTAAAATCCAGGAAAATCTTCTATGTGAGAAATATGTTACATAAACTAACTCTCCCTAGCCACACACAACTTGAGATAAGGACTCACTTGTTAAATATTAACAACAACAGAATACTTTGACAGCCCATGTGATGAAAACAAAATAACCTGCATATCAGAGACAATTAAGCTCATCATCAGTGAAAAACATCAAATTGCTGCTCATATGTGCAAATAGAGTATGCAGTAACTGTCATATTCTTTATAACATCACTGGATTTACTTTTTATTTATAGATATGAAATAAATGAGCTTTATATATATGTGTATGTGCATGTATGCTTCTGCTTAAATATTTTAAAAATTTCTCTTCCTGGCCTGGGAAAAACCTCAAGAGTGTGTAACTACTGAAAATTTAGTGCATCTAGAGATTTATCAGACAGGCTAGAGGCAAGGGAATGATCTTGCATTTCCATCACTATTCCCTCTTCAGTCTAAACCTGAATAAACCATTCCTGCAGTATTAACCAAATTTATCTTGACAGCTGATGAAAACTGGATCCAAGAGGTCAGAACATCAGCTGCCTTGGGAAATCCATGGAAGTGGAAAAGGAGAGAAAGCAGACATAAAAGATTTTCTACATAGGGACCTGAAGAGAAAGTATGTACTTGGGCACAGAGATATGCAGAGCAGCCACTCCTAACAGTTTAAGATTAAAATTGCCCAGGTGTGGATGCAATCCTTCCACCCTCGGAGGATAAGGAGATACTAATGGGATTTGCTTGAGGACAAGACCCAGTGCTAAACACAGTAATTTTGTAGTTTAAACACAAACACTAGAGTGGTCAGTGTGGCTGCTGCACTTAAGAGACGGTTTCTTACTAAATTTGATGAGGCCAAGATTATCCTCCTTTCACTCACATCTCGTTTTTTTGAGACAAGCATCTGGAGACAGTGGAGGAACACATTATACGGCATGGCTGCTAACATTAATCATAGATCTTCCATTCCTGGTTTGCTCTTTTATTTTTAATTAAGAACCGTGTTTCGGACTACAGAAAGCAGATCCATGTAATGTGTTTCCTTATCTCCCCAAGGTTTCATTTTTCACTGGCAGAAAGAAAGAATAAACCATCAATTAGGGTTTTTTTTTACTAAAAAACATGTAAAAAAATACACGAAATCTATGTGGTTTCCTTAAAGCAGGTTGATGCACAAACACTGCTGAAAGAATGCTCTTTCTTCCTTTTTTATGGAATATCCTGAGGCAGAGAGAAAGACACTTCTCAGCCAGCTCTTGACAGCCATGTATTTCCTAATTGACCACATACACTAAAGCTCTCCTTTTCCATTTCAGACATCCTAGTGACCCTCATCAATAACCTAAGCATCAGGTTGCATCCCTCAAAAGTCAGATGAACTTGGGTGTTCCTACACAGAAAAATTAGAACCACATTTTGATGACAGAGGCAAAAAAATTGTTTTTAAGCAAATGTTATGTACTTTATCTAGGTTTAGAGATCTACTACAAATTACTTTGTCTATTCTTTTCGCAATTCTTTGTTCCACACAAAGAAAAGGCTTAGAAGGATAACGGGGTACAAAGGAGCAGGAGATAATTCCCTCACAAAGGACCTCCATTGCCAGAGCCTTTGAAGTTGTGCTAAAAAAGCCTTGCTAGCCATTAGCTGACACACAGCAGAAATCTGAACTGTTTCCATGCACACTACAAGCAGAGCTATTTTCTGCACAATTAGTCATAAAAAGGTCCAATGTAAACTGTGTCGGGAGGTCTCAATTCTTTACATTCTCCACACAGTGAATCAGACATTATGTATAACGTTTTGTTGCCATTTAGACCTTGGGCTGCTCTGCAATCAGGAGGCGGCAGCCTCTATTCCTCCTTCTCCCTCGATGCTGATTCTCAAGCCCCTTGGCAGCACCACAGTGTTTATGGTAGGAAGGCTTCACAAGAATTAGTGTAGGGAAAAAAGCAAAGAGAGCTGCCCCTTCACAGTCAGGGTAAATACTTTGTGGTCCCTTTGCTTGCTGCCTCTAAAACTGCATCTCCATTCCTCTTAATCTACAGTGG